AAAAAAGAAAGGGAAAAGACAAAAAGAAGGAAACAAGGGCGCGAACCTTCGCCATGGTACGTACGGGTGTTAGATGGTGATGCAATTCGCAAGCGGCAACCCACATTGCCGGACCTAACCAACCGGAACGTTTCAAAGGTGGGCAGGGACTCTGAGAAAGCCACTCAGTTGTGACCCTCCTCAGGCTCCTCTATGATCTGACTCCATGTCGACTAGTTAACGGAGACTTGACGAACAGTCGAGTCGTGACCATATCCGTACTCCAATCCAAGTAAAAGGCAATTACGCTGCCTTCTGAGACTTGAGAAGCCCCGAGTCTTCACGTACTTCCTTGACAGCCGGTTTGGTCGTCTGCCATACCTGAGCGCAAGAGGCTACAACAGGAGTGTCAGCCAAATGCCATGTGTCGCACCTCTCAAATCAGCTTGATGCTCCCATGGAGGAGTGAGTGACCAAAGAAGATTACGGAATACGGATTCTCGAGTCTAATAAAAGCTTTGGGTTGGTGGGCCCCATCCAGCGACGGAGTCCAACAAGCGAGTGCCTCTCACTCTCAGACCCGAATGGCGTGGACGGAAACTGACCACTTCTGCCGGGGAACAACGGGTGGCTAACTTTAGCAACTCAGCGGCGCAATGAATCAGCGCGTTTGTGCTCCATGTGGAAAGGTACAAGTGTGCGAACTTGCGGCTAGCAGAAAGACACATCTCTTGCATCCGAGGCTCAGCCTACAGCGCACGTCAGCCATCAACCATCAGCCGTCAGCCATCAGCCATCAGCCAACAGCCAACACCGACACTAATTTAGCAATGATGAAATGCAGTACGTGACCTGGATACGGCAAGATATGAAACGATATCAGAGAGAGATCAGCAACGTGAGCTGTGTCTACTCGCCTTCCTCGTCGTTGGTGAGCTGGTGATACCTGGGTCTGCAGGACTGTAATCTGTGGACGGTGGACTAAGGATTGCCGGGGGTAAGGAAGACAGGAGGTGGTATAGAGCATCCGTACGGGCACACATGAGGTGCGGCGTGCCAAAGGCAACGGCCGTTCAGCCCCTTCTGGACGGGGTAAGGTGTCGGCGCCCCGTCATTTGCCTCGGGCGAGATTGCGGGCACTATGGAAGAAAGCCAAAAGAACATGTACATCGTTGTTGCAGGCAGTGGGTGGAACGACAGGAGGGAGGGAGGATTAGGTATCATCAATTTTAGTTGAGCCGGTCCTTGCGTCTGCGGTGTTGCGGGCAAAGGGATCGGTACCTGTTAGGTATCTGTAGAGTGTGCTCCGTAAAATACGTAGTTTGTCAATGTATCCGTAGCGAAGGGGGAAGGGGGAAAAGGAGAGAAGGTAGTTCCCTGGAAGCCGCACAGGCACCGTCTAACACTGCGCCATGCGTGTTTCCGTTCCGTGGCTTCCGTGTTTCCTGCCCTGACCCCATACAATACGGAAGTACTGACCAACCAATCCAGCTAGTGCATGGCCTCATCACCTAAACTGACACCTACCGACGAGACACACGCCCATCTAACTGACAATGTCTATTAGCAGGCAAACGGATGAGCGGGAAATATAGGGGCTTATGGCTCGGAGGAAGAGAATGCGATCGAGAATAACAACTGCAGAGATGCAAACTCCGCACAGAGTGAGAGGCGTGTTTGACTATATAATAAAGTGTCGGTTGACGACGATAAAGAAGATGAGCCGCGACATGAGTATTTGGGTTCCATTGGGGAAAATAGGGGGTAAAGCGTGAGGAGGCAGAATTCAGGAGTACGCGCCAATGGAACATTCTCCTCTCTCCGACTTCCGTTTGGGATCACCCGAGTCTCCCTCAAGTTCCTCAAGGTGGTGGTGAGTGCAAGAGTCGCAAGACACTGAAGTCTGAGGCAGCAATTGTCGCTCGCTGGAACCTTATCGGCAATGGGCCGTCAGGATGACTACCTTCACCTAAGGTACGGTAGGTAGGTGGGTTCCCACCACACTGCCACCCCAAGGTCCCCCACAAGTCGTTTCCCGCAGTCCACCCCGTCGTCCATCATGGTCAACCTATGGAAATCGGCAAGCTTGGATTCTTGAAAGACTCCCGAGCCAGTGAAACCGCTCGGGAAGTGCACGCTCCCTCTCCTTCCGTGCTGTTTCTGGTCAGATCCACCAATGAATCTCCGCTACTACGTACCTCGATGTCGATATCATGTGCTGGAGATGGTTACCCCCCTTGCGGCGTGCGTGCGCTGAGCTGCCTCTTCGGTAGCTACGAATACATCCATCCAGTCATCTACCAGAGTGTGGCAATGAGGGAGGCCCTGCCTCCACACACATGGTTACACTTATGTTGCCTCTTATCCATACGCAGGCGAATCCCAAGGTACCTTGGCCGACCTTAGCTAAGGTTCCTAGAACGGAGTCGGCCACCTACTCAGAACGGAGCGGTACTGAAGAAAGTACATAGTAGGTGCCTCACACAACCCTTGCTGCCTTCAAGGCCTCCATATCTCCCATCTCCCCTAACCCCTGCCTCGACCTTGCCCTGGGGGGCTCGTGGGGCTTGCGTCTCTGCCATTTGGGCCGGGGGTCCGTATGGATTCGACACCTGAGGCATGAATACTCTGGCCACCCCTTAGTTCCTGGTGCCCCCTTGGGAAGCTGAAAGGGGAAGGGCCAACGTGGTCCCAAATTACAAAAGAGGCCACATCGCCTGCTTTCTAACCACGCAGCTTATGAACACATTGCATCTACTTCTGCACAAAACAGCAAAGGACACTCTGTCGTCTCCGCCTTCACCAAGCACTTTCCGGCTTTCGACCTAAGTCCTAAGCTGATGCCTTTGCTTCGGTGACTCACTTGGTCAAAATCTGACTCATTCACCGAGTCCTCTTCCCTACCAACATGCCTTCTACTTAGTATCCCGGCTTTGGCTATTTCACTTCAGGAATTAAGACGGCACCTTAATAGCGGTACTGCATCCACCTGCTCTACACACCGGCCTTACTATCTTACTGCTTCACCCCGGATCTTCGCAAATCCACTCTACAGAGGTAGCTCGACTGCTTGACCCCGTCAATTAAAGTCATCTTCTCTCTCCGCCAAAACGATTCTGTCGAGAGGTCATCTCCCGACACCACCAGTATTCGACACACAATGGAAGCCTGGGAACAACCATCACCAATGATTAAGTTCGAGGACTCGCCTGCCGAGTCTTTCGTTTCGACACCCGGCGAAATATATCCTTCGCTTTTTGGTGACGCAAACGTCGTCAACGATGAAACCTTAGATCCCTCAGACATGATGACGCCGCCGCCCTTCAATGACGATGGAGGTGTGCCAGCATCTACGGCATCGACCCCGGCCCCAGACGGAGCAGGATCCTCGTCACCGGATAAGAAGCAGACGAAGAAGAGGAAGTCATGGGGTCAAGTTCTCCCTGAGCCAAAGACCAACCTCCCCCCTAGGTATGTCGCTGCAATCCACTTTGGGCCACAGATACCCCCATCTATCCCTCTCTACCTGGTCTAATGGAACCATCAGAAAACGAGCCAAGACAGAAGACGAGAAGGAACAACGCCGTGTTGAGCGGGTTCTTCGCAATCGCCGAGCTGCACAATCATCTCGTGAGCGAAAGCGCTTGGAGGTTGAAGCACTGGAACGACGCAATAAAGAGCTCGAGTCTGCTCTTCAGAACGTCACCAAAGCAAATCAGTTGTTGGTGGATGAACTGAACAAGTTCCGTCGTGACTCGGGCATGTTGACTCGTTCAACATCTCCCCACGACCCTCTACACAAGAACTCGTTGACCTTGTCCCAGGAGCTCTTCAGCTCACACGATGGACACCGCGCTTCCTTGAACGAGACCAAGTCCCTTGTCGACGATCTCATCACCACGTCTCAACACAGTGCAACCGTCAACCCCGCATCGCTTTCCCCTGAGCTCTCACCTGTCGCCGAGAGTGAAGAGGTCAGCGGTGAGGAGCAGCCGACGGCCGAGACCTCCGTTGCGAAGTCTGCCTCCGACCTGACACAACGTCCTGCAGCGATGTTGTGCGACCTGCAGTGTCATCTGTCGGAGGAGCTTCCGCAATCATGGCTGGCCTCTCAAACCCCTCTGCATCCGACCTTGGCCTTCTTTCTGCAGCTTCAGACACTACTAGTCACCTCATCAGTGATTCTTTCAGTTTGTCAGCGGCCCTTGACGCAGATCGCTATGTCCTTGAAAGCGGGCTTCTCTCTTCCCCCAACTCCCACGATTACGAACACGATTATCTGGTTGGTGACTCTACCTTCCTCCAAGACCCGTTCGATATCAACGAGTTCCTCCACGACGACGATAACGGCGCAGCCGTCGCAGCGGACCCGGAATCCGGCGGTGATCTCGCCCACTTTGAGACTCAAATCTCTTCAGAGAATCCTAACCTGCAGCCCCACTCTGGCGCGTCCGCTCATGGATGCGACGATGGAGGCATTGCGGTTGGTGTCTGAGAGACGCGACGACCGGGAAGGGAGATCATCGGCCGCGTCTTCGGCGCAGCGCGACAGCAGCCGAACACCGCAAATGTGGACTATTGGCGCCCCTTTACCGTCTAAGGAGGTTCTTTTGACTTTACTTTGGGTTCTAAGAGTTGAAGAGCGGAAAATGACCCGCAGGACCGTACTCCAATCCAGATCTCAAGCCCCTGATCCGGCGGAGAGTATTTTAACACCAATGAACAACCATGTGTTGACTATGGCTTCGAAGAGGAAGCGAGGCGTCGCTGATACAAATAAGGCTGGGAAGCGATTTCGGTTGACTTGAATGGGATGGGAAAATAGTGTATCGGCGTCAATATGGTGTACAGTTATTATAGATAGACTTGGTGCACTGTAACACTAAAGTCATCAAATGAGAAGTTGCCCGGCGTCAAACGATAGTCACGTCGCTAAATGATAATTTTCACATGCTCTTAAGAGACTTGAACATATCATGTACACATAACAAGAAACGTTCTTCAAGGGGCTGGAAGCCCGTGGCACGGTCTGGCAATTATAGCAGACAAAAGCTGCTTTTCAAAGTGTTCACAGGCCGCTCACGACGGTGTATCGATGTAGATTTAATCAGAACCAGAGCTGAACGCCCACCATCCAAACGCCGTCCACCATACGCGCAAGTACACATACATTAACACCTCAACTCTCGTGCATCTAGAATTCGCCTGGCAACTATCCTCGCTGTGGACTCATTCCAGTTACCACAAGCCGTCCATTTCGGCCATGGCAGCCTCTTCATCTGCAAAATCATCCTCAGCCGACTTGCCAATGGGCTCCGAAAAAGTTGATGCTAGTGCCTGTGTTGCAGCATCCGCTTCGGCCATGAGCGCGTCGAGATCGTCGTCTTCGGGTTCCCCAGGCTGTGGCCTGAACCCTTCCATATCCTGCTTCCTAGCCAAAGGTGTTGAGTCATATATGTCTTCTACATCCACATTATCCACTTGTTCTGGTGTTCCCGGGTTTTGCTGTTCAGTGACTGTTGTTGATATTGGTGCGATAGTCGTCTCGTCTCTCTGCTGCGCTGCCTTTTCTACCGGATCTTCCGCTCTTTCCTCGTCTGCATCCCCGGGCTTAGGCTTGCTCTCGTCAATCCACTCCATGCGCTTGACTCCGATCTGCCTCTTATGACCGGCTTTCTCAACCATGGCCAGAGCGTCGAGGAACTTGGCCTTGGGGAACAGGTCGTCGAGCCAGAGCTGGTAAAAGGATAACAGACGAGCTGCATCCGAGAACTGTGAAACACTGTCTCAGCACCAAACTATGACCGCAGCAGAAGGTGAAGCATGCCTACCTCGTGTCCTTTACCTTTGAACGTGAGATTAGCAGCGCGTTTCCGAAGCTTGGGTATCCCGTTATCCGACAGTAGCCTGGTTAAATATCAGTAACCGATAGCGAATTGAGCGCACGAGATACCCACCGAGCTTCGTCCAGCTTCACTCGCGGTACCCTCGCTCTTTTTGCCACCTCGACCTCCTCATCAAGACCCAAAGCCTCGGCCTGCTTTCTTTTGGTCGTGCTTCCGCCTTTTGCCTCGGGCGGCGGGGATTTAAATGGGTCGTCGAAATCGTCGACATTGTAAACGTCGAGATCATCGTATTCGGGCACAGTTCTAGTGGCCATTGTTCAAGTTTGGCTATGCGCCACGTTGTAGTTGATCAGGCTTCGACCAAACGAACTCGCTTCCTTCTTGCAGATTCCGGTGTACGCGGTATGTCACCTAGAGACGCGTCTTCAATTAAACGACGCGTTGGGTGTAACTAGGTCCTTGAGGTAATGGGTCTTTGTACAAGAAACGCCACACCTGTCCTGGGGTTTGTGGGCGCCACCTTTTCTATGCCTCAGGCTATTCAGTCAGTGGCTCAGCCCCAATCAGCATCCCCCCATATCCAATTCGACGTCCACCTCGACGCTGAGCAATGCTAGATACCGGCCATTACCGACGCATTCGGGCCACGCATTGCTGTCTAACACAATGGCTACTACACAAGCCCAGACTTACACTCCGACCAAGGTCGTGAGAAGTGATTACCCTGTGAGACCTTCAATAAAGTTTCTCTTATGAAGGAAAACATTGGCTGACATCTCTCTCTCTTCTCAAAGCTTATTGACAACGACCCGTATGCCACGACTCGCCCGCCGCAGCCTCCATAGGATCAAAAGCTAACAAAGAATGCCTGCAGCCATTTTAAGAGAGTTGTTGGTTATGCCAGACCTTCCGACTACCTCCACGGTGCTGTAGCTGCAGCCTTCGGCCCTGGCGCTCTCCTGACCCTGGAGAAGTTTGCTCCTTCCCACGTAGGCAAGGGAGGCATGGCTCAGGCTTTACGCTTGGCTGGTGCCATTGGCGTTGCTGGAGGCTTTCTATACTTCTACCAGCGCTCTAGTTGTAAGGATGTCTAATCTAGGTGGTTTTTGGAGACGGGGAAGAATTGGGAGAGGCGAAAAATGCTAACTAGGCGGCTGACAGTGCGGTTTTACGGAGCCACCGAGAACTCTCGCGAAGTTGAGCTGGACATGAAGGAAATGGTTTCCAAAGTCAAGGCCGGTGAGCCGCTTTACGGAGAGAGCAGGTTGACCCCCCATATGCAAGGCGTCGCTGCGCGACAATCTCGGTATTCGGCCTTGTTCATGGGCGTTGTACCCTGGTTCAACTTCGTCAACCACAATCAACACGGCGTCGACACGGCCAAGTACTATCAGCAGGCTGAGAGAGAGCTTGAAACTGAGCGTTTGCAGAAAACTAGCGCATGATATCCTTCAGTGAGTTGTGTGGGACAAAATAGGGGTGTATTATAGGTTAGGCACGCAGGTGATAGCCGTGGTGGAGTACGTTGGCATTTAATGCGGAACACGTCCTAAATTGTTGGTTTCATTGTAGCGTCTTTTGGATGTGAGTTGTCATTGGCAGAAAATAGGCGTATCCATGGCATATCATGGTATCGGTTTTGAATGCCCAAGTACCAGTTCTACAGCACAACGGCATGCCACGATCACCACCTGTGATCCTACGGGCCTCCTGTGACCCGACTCCTAGGCCTGGATTAAATGTCCACAATTGCACCGCATGATTTATGTGAGAGTAAAGTCCGGAGCGTTACAATTACTGCGTCAGCTCTGTACAACCCGTTGAGCTCGTCTTTGCGCATTTAGACTCTGTTATCCCATTAATTATGCACTGCCCTGCGCAAAGGAGCAGCTACAAGTATTCTCGCGCTTAGTCTAAAATTGTACAATTACTTGAGTAGGAAGAAAATGGCGGTGTTCCAATAGATTGGAAGTACCTTGCTTTCACGCTCATTGTTATTAAATTCTCCACTGAACGCTGTTAGAACCGGAGCAAGCCCCAGGCATTTTTTTTGCCGCTGATCACATTACTGAAACAACACTGTAACAAGTAAAATCCACGAAGCTGTTGAGAGACTGGCGGGCAACAAAGCCGAGGCTCCATTGGTACTGGTTGGAGACGGCGCGGAAGTGGTGGCGGCCTCGGCTGCAGCTGTCATCATGACCGCCGTCGTCGTTGCTGTCTTGCTGGCACTCGCCCGAGTCGTAGACGTCGATGTCACTTTGTCTTCTGGGTCTCCTTGTCTAACAACCTTCAAGGTGTAGTTGCTGGCTTCGAAATGCATGTCGCCTGCGGCGTGCTTGATCTCGGTGCCCAGTTCGAGTTGCCCTAGCCATATTGCGCCGGACAGCATACCCTTCTTCCAGATGTAGGTGAGTAAGGGGCCGTAGTCTGCATCGGTCTTGGTCAGGTTGCTGCGAGCCAGCCACGAGAAGACGTGCTGTCCTCCATCATTCCAGCCGTGATATAACGAGAAAGGTGTGCCGTCGATAGTCACGGTATCTTTGTCGGGAGTAGACTCGGCCCATCCAAGTGGTTTTACAGTTGGGGTCCACCAAGGCTAAATCATGATTTCAATGGGAGCGCCCACCATAGTTGAGTTCTCCTTGTTGTCGGACAGGAACATGTCCACAGCAACGTTGGCGTAAAGTGAAACGTCGTTGAAAGCCTGGGCCTGCTGCTCAGCACTAGCGCTTTCCTCGCCGGTAACGTAGGTCTGCCAACTGCCAGTAACCTGCAATTGAGTGACATTCCATAACTGAACAGGGAGCCTCGTAGGGTGAGCTTTCATGTAAGGATACCCTTTGACAAGAGATGCATCTCCGGTCCATTTGTAGGAGACACTGAAACTCCGGCCATCATCGTGGACGGACATACATTGGTAGCCCGAGCTGTCATTACCCCAGGCGTTATTGTTGACTGCGGCATTCGTTAGTCGGATACGATGGAATTTGGATGATTTGAGTGCTGAAACGGCAGCGTGTATACTGAGTGCTACGCACATGAATATGGAACTTCAGTTGAGTTCCACCAGTCCGATTGACCACAAAGATCGATGTTTTGGGGGTCCGCAGCTACCAGTCCAGCAAGTTGAAAAATGGACAAGAGTCCCAAGGCCGAGAAGAACGCCGGTGCCATCGTTTTGTGATTATTCTGTGTCTGTCCTGGGTTGTCCAGGGCGCAGGAGCGCAGAGTGTTACGGCGTAGATAATGAGTGAATAGGGGTGAAAGTTGAACGCGAAAACAGCATGAACAAAACGAGTGTTTATAGAAGACAGATTCAGCCGCCCATGGTAGTCTTACTGACTTGTCGAGGAAGCGGAGAAGAGTGAGAAACAGAGTCCTCCAAGTACCAACTTGGTGATGAGTTTGCGCGTGAATGAGATTCAGAAGTGCTCGAGAAAGAAGTGCCGTTGCCTGGTCGAGCCTGAGGCGTGAGACAAAAACAAAACGTCAGCCGTGCTTTGCCCCTTCGCCCCCTGCGGTCCCGCTCCCACACGAGGCCGTCCAAGCCATTGTTAGACCCAAGCATTGGCAGCCAGCCGCTAAAGAGCAGTGATTGAACCAATTGAATGACGAAAAGGTACCCAATGATCGACTCACAAGCGCAGCAGGTTCAGCAACCTAGCTAACGAGTACGAGCCAAGGCACTTAGGAAAGTGCGCGTTGAAGAGGAGCCCCTATTCCTGGCATTCTCCACCATATCGTCCTTACGTAGTACAAAGTAAAATACCTACGTCTTAGCTGGTGGGTCTATCTACTCTAGACCACCTCCGCGGATTTTACGTGACGCTAAACGGACTTAGTCCTTCTCGCTCCGTCCTAATAGGAAGGAGGGAAATAGACTAGGACCGGGAGGAGGGGTGAAGTTTATTATTAACAAAGTCCTGCCCCTAGAGGTACGACGTAGTTTATCTTAACAATACTTAAAATGCTTCGCACTTATAAACTTGTATTAAGTAATTAATAACTTAATCTATTTAAATATTATTCTTATTTTTTCAACAAAATAAAAATTATAAAATAAATTATAAACTTAATATTTTAATTAATTAGTTATACTAAGAGTTTATATTAATATTTATAAATTTAAAAAAAGACTATTTATAAATTATAGTATAAAAAAGCTATCATAGTTAATTATAACCTAATGAAATATAGTTTTTAAAAAAAATAATTAAGGGAATTAATATACGGATATAAATAATTAATACACGGACATAAACAATTAATATACGAATATAATTTTTATATAAATATAATAATTATATACTATTATTAATTTTAAAAAGGAAGTAATATATAAGTATAAATAATTAATATATAGGCATAACTTTTACATAAGCATAATAACTATATACTATTATTAACTTAAAAAAGCTATTATTTTATCTTAATTCTACCGGTCCTATTTAAAATATTAAAAACAAATTTAATATATAATCGCAACGTATGGTTTATTTAATTAAAACTCTATTATTATATTATTTATATTAAAATACTTTATATTTAAATCCGCCCTTTTATTACTAAAATATAACTCGTTATATTAAATTAAAAATTAAAATTTAAATAACGAACTTAATTTAAAATAATAATATAATAAATATTTTTTTTATTCTCTAACCTTTTATTATTAATAATTTAAATATAAATATTAATAATTATTATAACCTTAATAATAATAATACGTTTAAAAACTTTTTTATTTTTTATTTAAACCGGGTTTATTAAATTACTTAACCTTACGATTTATATAAAAACGATATAATATTTATTAAAATATAAAATGATTATAAAATCTTTTTTTATAAAATATTTCCGATAATAATTATATAAACTTATTAAATTATTATATTAATACTTAACTTAAAATACAGTTTATTTTTATTATATTTTATTTTTAAATCTATTTTATAAAATAAATAATATCGACTTATATAAACTATTTTTATAAAAGAATTAAATTTATATTATACTTAGTTAAAAAAATAATAAAAAAAGCGATAACTAACTAAAAAACTTTTAAATTTTTTAAATAAATTTAATAATAATAATTAAAATAAAGCGATTTATTATATTTATTTAATATATTTATTTTATTACTTTTACCCCTATATTCCCTTTTTTATTATTTAAAATATCTTTTCTTAATTTTTAAATAAATTTAATAATTTTATTATTATAAAGTTTTTACTTTTTAAATTAATTTTTATCTTAACTTTTATTTAATTTAATTTTAGATTTATAAATTCTTAAAAATTTAAAGTTTATAATTAACGCCTTATTTAATCAAATTAAGGAATTAATATAGAGGTATATAGAATTAATATAGAAGTATACACCTTACAACGGTATATATATCTACTATCCTAATTAATTTAAAATTTTATTATTAATATATTTAAATTCTACCGGTTTATTTTTATATATTCTTTTTATTTTAAATTTCTTTTATTATCGTAATCTTTATATTTAATATTAATATATATTATTTTTAATAATTAAACCCCGGCGTAATTTATATTACTAAGCTATGGAATATAGCATTAGTAACGCAATATATTTTTTAAAATATTAATATATAAATATATTATTATTTCCTTTTTTAATTAATAGTTATTTTAATATCGGCTAATTTTATAATATTGATAATTTTTAACTATATAATAACTTAATTAACGACTTATTAATTATAACGGGTAGGTCAACTAGGTATGAGAATAGTGCTCTCCAAAGGTAGGTCTAGTATTAAATAGAAGCTGAATCTTGGCCTCCTGCTACTAGGTGGCGAGAAGCCAGCTAAAAAGAGCCCCCTTTAGCTGAAACGGGGCTTGAATAGTTTATAGCGTTTTACGCTATACTGACCCTGTGACAACTATGCCCGCCTAAGGCAATTGTCTTTAATTAATATATAGACCTTAATATAGCGGAAAATCTCTTAGCTAGTTAGTTAATCCTTTAGGATTTAGTTATTAAATATTCCGGTTGCTTAGTAATTTATATAAATAACTTAGGTTATTAATCCCGTTTTTAAAGGCGGTTATTAAAAAGATATTTTTAATTTTTTTTTATTTTATATTTTTAAATAATCTTTTTTTTATAAATATTTTTATTTTATAGCCTTTTTTTTAAATTTTTATTTTATTAGCGTTTTTTATTAACTTTTTGCGATAATATCTTTAATTTTATTCATTAATTAATTAATTCCTTTTTTTATAATAATTTTTAATAAATTTTTTTAATTTTTTACCCTTAATATTATTATATTTTATTATAGTCGTAACGACGATTTGAAAAAGTTTTTTAATATAAAAAACGAAGGTTTTTTAAAATATAATCTTTTTTTTTATATAATTTAATTAAGCTTTTTAACCGAATTAATAATAAAAAGCCGGTATTTAAAAAAAAGCGTAATAATTATAAATTTAAAGAATATTAAATTAATAAAAAAATACGTAATATTAATAATAACAAAGAAAATAAAAATATTAATTAAAAGGATAATAAGAACGAGGCGAATAGTAATAATTTAAATAAATATTAAAATAAAAAAAAGTTTAAATAAAAAGAAGTTTATAATAATATTAGCGAAGAGGAATAAAATAGCTTAAATAGCTTTAATAATATAGATTTTAATCTTAAAAAGATCTTTAACCTTAGCCTTAAGTTTATTTATAATAAGTCCGTTTAGCTTTATATATATTATATTCGAATTAAATATAAAAACTATTAAAAAAGTAAAACCCTTGTTAATAATATATCGATTTTTAATTATATATATTTTTTAAAGGGGGTAATTATTATATTTAATATAATAAATAAAGTAATTTATATATTATAATTTACTTTTTTATTTTTTAAGTTTTTATAAGGGTATTATTAATTAATTATAATTGGTTTTTTTATTTTTAAGTAATTTTTAAAATATTTTTTAAATTTATATAGCCTTATTTTGTTTTTATATTTATTAAGAATTTAAAATAATTTAAGAGGAAATCGGCGATATTTTATAAATTATATAGGAATATTTTATTTAAATAGATATTAATTACCGTTAAGAGTATTACTACCTTATTTTTAAATTTATTAAATAAGTTAAAAGATTTTATTTTTTTTAGCGGATTTTAATTAACTTTTTAATAAATATAGCACCGTAAGTATTAAATAATATACCTAGCTCGTTATAAATATATTATTCGCTATTTTTATTTAATTTATAGCTTCGGTAACTATTTAAGATATAATTTTAAAATAAACGGTTCTTTTTTAATCCTAATTTATTATATAAATTTATATTAATTTAGTTATAAGGAGTATACCGTTAATCTTAGTTTAATTCTTAACGATTAAGGATAGTTAATTTAGTAAATATATAAGCGTAATAAAGTCGCCGTTATTTTTTATCGTTTAATTTATTAATAACTTTTTACCAAGGTTAATAACCCGGCTTTAGTTTTAATTATCTAAGGGATTTTTTAGCGTATTAATAATATTAATATAAGTCTTTTCCTAGGCTAGATTTTAATTAATATTATTTTTAATATTTTTTTTATTAGGTTTTAAAAAGTAATAGTTTTATTTTTATTAACGGTTTTTAATAATTTAGGCGATTAATCCGTTATAATCGACGTTTTTTTTTAATATTCGGGTTTTTTATTAGTTTAATAGTTAAGGAGTTATCGATTCTTAAAAGAATTATAAAAGTTTTATTTTTTTTATTTATATAGTTTTTTTCTTAGCTTTTTTTAATAGTCCTTAATAGTTTTAAATGTATTTATTATATTTTTTTTATTAATTTAAGAGTTATATTCTAAGGGCTAGCTTATTTATTTAATTAAATAAAAACGACTGTTTTTAGTATTTTTATAATTAATTATTTTATTTAATTTTTATTTTACTTTTTTGTTTTTTAAATTAAATATAAATAGGGATTCGCTATTATTATAAGTTCGTTATTTTTTAAAAAGTTAATAAGAAAAATATTATAAAATTTAGAGTATTTTTTAAATAAAGTAAAGCGGTATGCCTATTTTTTTATTTTTTTTAATATATAAAAAGGTTTTATAAATTTAAGAAATAACTTTTATTATTTAGTTTTAAACTTAAGGTTTTAAATAAATAAAAAAACGAGTTAA